GTGGAGCTTGGGAGGGCTGCCTGCAGCCCTCCCAAGCTCCACTTTTGTTGGCAGAGGCACTGCAGGCTGTTCCTTTGCTGTTTTCAGGGTAGCCCCAGGACAGTTCTAAGTACCCCATGGGCCAAATCCAGCCCCCGGCCTTGAGTTTGACATCCCTGCATTATCTGAACTGTAAAAAAAAATATATTCAAAATTGATTCTGCCCAGATTCTACAGATTTGACGACACTGGAGCCCTTTTAGCATTCCTATTCTCATATGCTAATTTTATGCATGTAGGCTTTCTATCTATAGCTTAGAAACTCAGAGTAGAGGGAACCAGAAGTTGCCTTTCCAGTGATCTGGAGGTGGACAACAGGAATTACTACACTGGGCAAAGTCACCAGTTCTGGGTTCTGAATGTCTAGATGATGACCACTAAGAGGTCAGCAAAGAGAGATAGAAAACTCTAATTCTTTGGTGCCATATAGTGGATGGCTCATTTCATTTTCAGGTCTTCAGATCTAGTAGCCCTACCCCAGGGGGAGGAAGAAGATAGAGACTGAATCTGAACACAGATTAGAAGTTTAGGGTCTGCTTTAAAGTTCACTGTAAAGAGGGGGAGAAATCTAGGACAGAAACACAAACACTGATGATATTGATGGCGCACCCGAGGTGCTGGAAGCCAAAGCTGGGGAGGACTGTGCAATGGAGCGCCGGCAGCTGCAGAGCTGTGCTGATCGTCCAGAGCCCTTCTGAGGAAATGATAATAACACGAGGGAGAAGGGGTTGAGTGGTTCTGGATCATCGGGGTGGCAGTGGACCTCCGTGAGTGGTGATCGTCGGAACATATTGCCCCGCAAATGGCAGCCCGAGGGCTGACAATCTAATCAGCCAAATCCAAAGTTTCATTTTTTTCCATTCCAAGCACAAAATCCAGAACCTTTGTTTCCAAGTTGAAACAAAGTTGGATGTGTTATTTTCTTTGATTTAAAGCAGTCAATTTAGCCACATCTGCTAGTTCCAACATTTTTTTCAGCCATTCCTCCATTATGGAGATTAAAATATCATTTTTGTGCATTAAGATCCAACATATGCATTGCCTGTCTTCTGATATCTTCAAGCAGCGATCTCAAAAAATAAAAATGGGACTGTTGACATGTAGAATACATGCCCTATCATTAAGCTATGCTGTGCCTGACAAAATTTTGCTATCATCTCTGATGATAAATGTACCAGAATTCAACAGGTAGTCAGTCTCACAATGGCAGCTGATACGGACTGCCAAGCAGATTTATTTGAAAACAGAGCGAAGCTCATGTTTCCTTTTTAATTGCTTCATCTCTGAGGAAGTACTAGTGGATAGTCTGTTTTCTTATTTGCAAGACCCACACTGCCTTCCGGTTCCTAGATTTTTCCCCGTTTCCGCCCTGTGCTGCTTCAATGTCTCCTTTTGATTACTTTCTGTAGACCTCATTTAAATGTGTTTCTCACTCTCCCCCATTCCAGTTACTAGAGTTACAACAGGGAAAATTCCTAGTCTCAGAACTGCCAATGTACTATTATTTCACCTTCACTGTTTGCAAGAGTATTTTAAATGTAGCCATTTTGCAGCCAAAAAAGTTATTTTCATTGAAGCTGCTCAGATGTTTATGTTATCTCAGCTCTTAATTTTATGCTTTTAGACATGATCAGACAAATGAAAATAGCACATACACACACACAGTACAGTACATTA